ACCTTATATAATTTTTGTAACAAAAATTTGGTTATATTTAAAAAACATGTACATGAGACTCTTTTGTGATATTTATTTTTTTATGAATGAATATACGTAGTGATGATGATTATGGTAGTATCCGATACTATGAAATTGAGTATGGATAAATGGACCCGATGTAGTCAATGTTGTATGATTGCACAGGTTGTGTATTTGGGTAGAGCTCCCCATACAAAAGAAATTCTGTCCGAATTTTGTTAAATTATGGATCCCAGTAAATGGGGCATAACGGCATGGTATCGAGTTATACAGTATCCACGGGTATTCCGCGGATTGATGGGTGATCAATGAGGTAATTACAAACACCCGAATTTTGGGGCATCACATAGGCAGCTGCTTGGAAGAAAATGCCATGTAATGGCATTTTTATAAATACCTCAAATATGATTTTTTTTAATTAATTTTAAATTTTTTTATTATGTATTAAGAATGTATGCTCGGGTTTTACAGTTACCCAGTGTCAAACGGGTTTCCCCAATCGCTTCCACATCTGGTGGCAAAATCGATCCTGCTTAGTTTCTTATAGAGTATCAGAAATCAACAACACACGTGGATGGAAGACTGAGAAGAGGTCATTACAACAATAAAGTTGTTGCAGCAGTGAATGCCTATTCATCTTCTCTATAGTCAGAAATTGATTGGGATTTACCCCCAATATTTAAAGACTATCTAGAGGATGACATTTTAATCAGTGCTCAAGATGGTTTTGATATCCCGAACTATGATGAGTATCTCAAGGGTGATAATTTTCCAAATTCCATGAAAAATAATACGGTAATTGTCGCATCAACTGAATATTCTTCAAGTTGTGACAAGAGATTTGTGTGAATTTTTGGTGAGAAAGTTCAGAGTTTTCTTTTATACAAATGAATGAGAAATTGCTCAAATAGTATGAATTGATCAATGTCAAGCTTTTCCGAGAATGCATAGGGTTTGTGCCATAACCTCCCGAAAAAAGGTGTTGGCGGCTTGTAAGATCCCATATTATTTTTGAATATATATACTATGTCAAGAATGCTCATAAAGTAATGAAAATAATCATAGAAATTTTGAGGCATAATTCATAAAATAATTGCAAGGTTTAAGTTTCACGCATAATGACTTTCGGGGTCAAATATAGACTTGGAGGTATGTAAGTTTTAGAAGAGTAGTTAAATAATAATTCTAAAAGCTTTTAGGTCAAAAGAATGTCACTGTTGAATCCAAAACAACAAAAAAATTTGGGTTAGACATTTAGTCGGTATTGCGATCTAAAAAGGTAAAGATTATAAATATGGCATTTTGGGTATAATTCGGCTTGAATTTTTATAGAACTCATAAAATAAATTATTTTAGGTTAAAATGGCATTAAAAATGGATTTGAAATGTCAAAAAATTTTAGGGTAGTCATACAGATCAAATTAGAGATGTTTAGTGGTAAAATCATAATTTTAGAGAAAATGTATTTTTTGTCCCCCATTTCTCTCATTTTTCTCACACTTCTCACCCAATACTACTCCATACACCTTAAAACTAGAGAAATAAAGAAAGAATAAGAAAGAAGAAAGTTATTAGAGCTTGGGCTTTTGCTTGCAAACCTAGGACCATTAATTGAGATTCTTGAATTCACTTGGAGATTTGAAGGGGGAGCTTGGGTAAGGGTTTTGAGGTAGGGTTCTCATTTCTCTTGCACATACATTGATACATCTCATTTATGTTTTATATCTATTTTTTTAATATGAGCTAAATACATATTTTCATGATATGAGTCTTAATTAAATGATGAGTTTACTATGAATTCATAAACTTACATGCATTAAATGAATGTGGATATTGTGGGTGTTAACCCCAAACATGATTTTTGTTATGTGTGTTTGATTGACCTTAAGATTTTGGGTTCTTTAGAGTGTATGTGATTTTGTATATAATGTATTTAATATGTCTTTTACTTTATAAATGTGTAATTGGAGATTTTATGTCTATTATGTGTTTGATAAAATGCCAAAATAACTATAAGTAAAATAGATATACTAGTTATTGTCCGTACCTAAAGTCACAGAATAATAAAAAAATTATCAATAGTAAACATATTTGTATTTACACCCCAAAATTAAATCTTAAACATAGAGAAGAGAAAAAAGAATTTAAGTACCAGTAGTAGTGGGGGTGAGCGATGGTAATGGTGGTGGTGGAAGATGGTGATGGTTGTGGTGGATGGCGACAATTGTGGTGGTGGTGGCAATCGTGGGTCGCAATGGTGATAGTGGTAGTGGGTTTTGGGTGACGATAGTGGTAGTGGCAACCTTGGGTGACGGTAGTGGTGGTGGGTATGGGTGGTGGTTGGCAGTGGTGGTGGTGGGGCGATGACGGTGGTGTTGGTGGCGGTGGTGGGCGACGACGGGTGCTTCTAGGCTATAGTGTGATGGGTTGTGGCGAATGACGGTGGTTGTAGGTTTGGTGGGGTTAGGTGACAGTGGGTGGTGGCAATGGTGGTCAATAATGGGAGGTGATGGTTGGTGGTGGCAAGTGTGGTAGGGGTGGGTAATAGTGGCTGGTAGCAATAGTGGGTGATAACGGGTAGTGGTGAGTTGTGGTAATAGATGGTGGTGGGCAACAATTATGGTGGTGGGTGCTTACAGTGAGCGATGGTGGCAGTGGGATGATGGTAGTACTGGTAATAAATATAAGAATAAAATGACAATGGTAGTGGGTGGTAACAGTGGACGACAGTGATAATAATCGATGGTTGGTGGCGATAGGGCAGTGGGGGTGGTGGTGGGGTAGTGTCGGTGGCGGCAGTGGTGGTGATAATGGTGATGGTCATCGGGGGTGAGGTGGTAGGGGTGAAGATGGTATGGGTGATGGTGGGATAGTGGCGGTGGTGATAGGGTGGCAGCAGCGGTGGTGGTGGTAATGGGGATGGTGGTGGTATTTAGGCTCAACTTCGAATCTTACAACTCTGTTGACAAGTTAGTGATTTCTGTATTTATTTTTCTCTCTATACTTGGTGATAAATGAAAATTAGTTTCTTCTAATGGTATATATTTACAGAGAATTGACTTTTGAGTATTTTTTTTTGGCACCAATGTGAGTAAAGATTAGGTTTATATAGTTTCAAACATATAAATTTTATGAATTTTCAGTTCAAACTTATGGGACTTTGATTATTAAATGTGTGTTTTCTCTAAGTCTAATTATATTACTTTTGTTTGGTTAATTAAAATTAGTTCATTCACGGCTTCCAAATTAGTGTTTTAGTTTGAAATGGTATGCATCAAGTTGTTAATTAAAATGTGTAGGTAATGTGTTGGTAATGCTTTGTTGGGCATGCGTGCAGGTATGCTGAGAGATGCAATTTAAGCATTTAGGGATTCAGTTGAGCCTAAATAGTCTGCGATCAGTGTTTTTTTTCTTTTGTGTTGCACAGCGACTTTAGTTACGGGTTATTACTAGATATAAGTTGAGCCTATTGTGTCCATGGTCAATTTTTTTTAAGTTGTAAGGTGTCTTTAGATAATATAGTATTCTTCGAGTTTTAATTTAATTTTTCATTACCTCATGCCTTCAAACACTGATAATTACTAATGCTTAATATATATTAGAACAAACAAAAAACACCAAAATCAACAAGCATGTATCCAATGCATTCAATTTCCCTAATTTACTCAATTGATCAAATAATCTGCTCTTAATTGATTGCATAATTTTTGAAATAGAAATTTATATAATCTTAATTACATAATCTTAAGTAGCACTACAAGACAATTTTATAGCCAAAAGAAATATAAGATTGTAGTAACAAAAATCAAAGATTCAACTTATAAAAATAAAAAATCAAATATAGCATTATCAATGAATAAATTTTAAAGTAGTATTAAGGATTTAGTGTATTAGAATATGATAAATTTATCAAATTGTCAACCAAGTCTACTCTAAATACTTGGGGGGGGGGGGGGGGGGGGGAGAGAGAGCTATTGTTGTGTGCTACTATGTCTCACTTGAGGGGATGGCAATTGCAGAGAATAGGGGTGAAGCAAATCGTCGGTGGAGGTTTTAGTGACGAGTCCATCCAACCTTCGACTTCTAATGTTCAAGATTTTGAGTTTCGCTTCAATTGAGTTGCAGCGCACTGAGAGAGAGAGAGACAGAGAAGTGAGGAATCGGGCAAGTCATCGTCGTCGCAAGAGACAAAGCAGTGGGATCTGGGATGGACAAATGCCCAAAAGGGCCAAAACTCCAATTTTATACATTTTAATTGATCTGACCAGTTTGGTCAAAACCAATCGGGTTGAACGATTTACTAGTGAGCTGCCCGGTTCATCGAGTTTATTCTGGTTTGAATGTTCAAACAATCTATTAGAGGAACCGGTCTGTTTAGGCTCCAATTCACCTGATCAACCCGTTGGGCCAAGTCGATTTTTAAAACACTGAACAAATGAGTTCCTCATATTATACTTATTTCTAATTTCTCTATCCATGAATTCCAAAATATGTTATATACCCTGTAAAAAATTATTAGTTATACTGTACAAGAAGGGGAAGTAGAAAAAACAATAGATATATAAAGCTAATTATGGGTTTTTCCGTGTTTACACTGTCATTCCTGTCAACTGTGGACTCTAATGCAAAATCTTGACGGGGTTAGCATATACTTTGCTATTATCAATTTTTAATATTTTAGGATCAATTTAAAATTCGCCAAAAGATTGTAACTAACTTCAAAACGGTATAAGTTGACCCTAAAAATTATATTTTTTAAGAATAAATCCTCTCTTTTTATTTTTTTTCTAAATTACAACTTATCTCCAAATAATTTTATACTTTCAACCAAAAGATAATAAACTACAACGTCGAACCTCTTTCCATACCAAGTCCAATCCTAGTTGCGGATGTACGCCGTGCAACAAGAAAAGTTGTGCGACCCGTCACATTTTTTATTGAGTTTGGTCAATTTCTTTCAAACTAACTAATTCGGACCAATGCTATTGCAAAGGAAGCCTCTAATTGAGAGCCTAATGCTATTGCAGAGGAGTGAAGCTCGTGATATCAGCCAGCCCATTTCATCTCAACAGGTCTCATCTAGGGTCCAAGCCCACGAATGAATACCAGCCCAAGAGAGAAACAGCAGAAAGAATATGATATGAAAATTTGCTTTTAGAATTGCTACGAACGGTAGAACAACCAACACAAAATCATTTGGAAATGAGTGGAGAGACTCTTTTACAATATAAACCACTCTTGAGTGACCTTAGCCATTTTATGTAGCATACAAACTCTCTGTACACATTTGCTTATGTGTGATTCATGCTTCCAAGTCAGGCGAACAAAAAAACAAACCAGCATGAATAATGGGGAATGATAATAGCAAAAGAATATTTATATTAGCAAAGCCCTTGTGAAAATTTTGTTAAAAGCTATCCTTCTAAGAACTAGAATCTATTCAACTTCTTGATTTTTTCTCCTCATGCTATATCATTCAAAATATTGCTATAGTTTAATGGATATCAATCCTCCTTCTGAAGATAATAGCCTAACATAAATTAAAGAGTTATTAGGGGATAAAATAAAATAAATTTTTTTCTAAATGTGTAACGGATGGTAATGATTAGAGAAATATGACACTAATCACATAATCAATTGGGCAATGTAAAAATAATAATAATAATAATTAAATAATATTATTTCATATTGCTTTTGTGGCCAACTATGTATTAAATAATATTTACCTCTTACTCACCCCTACATAATATTTTCGTATTAAATTTTGTTGTACTAAATGATGCTCATATTAGGATGATGATTTATTTTTACTCATCCCTACATTTATTCTTTTCACCTTTTCTTTTGTCTATCAATGCATTACTTGGATTTGTGTACTTGCACACCATGATCCATGTTGCATTTTGTGTTCTTTGATAAATTAGTGGATGTTTTGGTTTAAGGAATTTTTGGACTTTATATTTTGTTGTATGATATATTATAAAGTGTATTGGAAGAGATATGGAGATTGCTTGAGGGTTTGCATTGGTCAGGCTGATCAGGGAGGGTTTTGTGTATCAATGGTGATCTGGTATTATCAATGGAGGTTGTTTTAAGAGCTAGGAGCTGAACTGAGAAGTCTAGAAGATGCAGAAATTTAATCAAAATTGGTTTTGGTCCTCTTGAATGATTAAAGCCAATTTACTTTTTTTGCAGATTTAGGAGTTGTGTTGTGAGTTGGGATGGTGTGCAGTGTTTTAGTTTGTACAGTATGGTACAGTCTATTGCAGTTCAAGTTGCTTGGTGTTATGCAATTCCAACTCAAGCATGTGTATAGGGAATCCAATGCAGTTGCTGACTATCTGGCTTCCTTTGTTGTACATACTGGTAGTTGTCATGAGTTTTCTGAAGGGGACTGCTTGCCTGCTGTTGGGAGGTTGTTATTACAAAGGGATAAAAGCAGGTTGCCTACTGCTAGATTAAAGAAGATTGTTCTGTTTGATAGAAGGATTGGTGCTGGTTGATGGTGGTGTGTTTCTGAGAGGGTTAGGGTGTAGGGAAATGAATGTTCTGGACTGTACTGTTTTCTGTTTCTCTTTTGTATTGGACTAAGTTGGTTCTTGCAGTTCTGCCCTCATATGTTACTAATGAGGGAGCTGGAGTATGCAAATTGGACTGCATTGGTCTGGGTTTTTGTTACTTGGTTGGTGGATTGCTTTGTTTTAGTTGTTGTCTGCTTTTCTGACAGAGTGCTACTGTGAGTGGAGCTGTGAGCAAAGGAGCAGGAGCTGAATTTAGGGGTGCAGTTTACAGGCAGTTTGTGTTTATACCTTAATACAGGCAGTTGGTTTGTCTGAGATCATGGGCTGTTTGCTGCTTTAATGACTGGGTAGCTGAAGTGTGACTTTGTGGTAGTTTCTTTCTGCATCAATTTCAGGTTGCAATCTCAAATGCTAGATTCCAGTTGAGTTAAGAAATGGAGGAGTTGGTCTGGAGCTGTGCAGGAGTTGCTTGTTGATAACAGATTTTTTTTGTACAGCTTACTGTTTTGACTGTTAACAGTTACTGTTTTGATTGGAACAGTTTCTGTGTTTGCTTCTTGAAATTTTGGATTTCAATAAATAAATTCTCTTTTTTTTTAAAACAAAAAGTTCAGTGCGTCTGCTGTGTAGCTAGAAGGCCTGGCCAGCTGGGAGCATTTTGTCTGTTCTGGTCTGCTTCTGCATTCAGAAATTTTTTCCTTTTACAAAAAAAAAAATGGGTGTAGTTGATCCTTGTAATTTTTGAATTCATTCAATAAAATTTCTATTTTTTTTTTCAAAATGATATACTATAAACATATTTAGGATAAAACGTGAAGTAGTGACCAAACATGTTTTTGATTTTTTATTCTCATAATTTGATAGACAAAAATGATATCCAAACATGTTTCTGTTTCAGTATTTATCACAAAACAAAGACAAAAAATTGTCTCTGTTTTTTATTCCTTTGAATACGCAAAAACAAAAACGTTACCGAACGACACCTTAAAAACAATCACGTTTGCAAAAACGGAAATAACATTATTCTTTTTCAAATTTTATAAAAACCATATAAAACACACAATTTAAAATTCAAATAAAACAAATCTACTTAATTATAGATATTTCATAATTAAACTATCCATATAAAATTCACATTTCGAAATTTAAAATAGATTCAATTTTTTTTTTATTTTAGGTTTTTATTTTTGAATATATATATAAAATACTCTACTATTACTACCCGGGATAGTGACGTCACTTATTACTATTAGGATGATAACAGTTACTCAAACGACTATCCCACAAGAATAACAAATATAAAAAAGTGAAAAAAAAAAAAATAAAGATAAAATTTTGATAATATGACAATGTTGTTGTCACTGTGACACACCTACGATGAAATTATGTATGTCTACATATAAGAGGAGGAGAGAGAGATCGAGAAAGAGAGTATCCTAATTTGGAGAGAAAAATGAGCTTACATGATCATTATCGATGAATTCAACAAATATTGCCAACATAAACTGCACAAAGAACATCACTACCATGAATCCTTCAGATTTATAACAATTATGGATATTTTTTTAAGGCAATGATCGACACAATCTCTCAACAATACATTGTGGAAAAAACAAATAAAATAAAGAAAATAGAAAGAAATGAGAGAATAGATAAATAATTGAATGAAAAAGATAACATAAAGAGAGACAAATTTTTAAATAAAGGATAAGAGATATAGGAAGAGATGGGAGAGATAAAGACCGATATAGAATATAAAAGATAGGGGAATCTAAATAAATGATATATTTGTGTTAAGCAAAAGTTCAATCCTTGAACTTAGAGATAAGTTAACATACAGAAAGTGAGTGAAGTGACCCATCTAAATGAGTCACTCACTCTAACTGATAATAAGTTTCGTATTGAGATATCTAACTCAATAATTGATCAACTTTTCTATCCAAGCGGGTATTCAAGAACGTACTCGTACCACTCCCCCCCACAGCCCACAAAGCGTGGGGGGAATGCTAGAGGTAGAGATTGAATACCCCAATCAATCTATCATGTTATATCTTTACTCTTATTTTGTTAACTATCTTTTAAGTGAGTGAAGTGACCCATTTAGATGGGACACTCACTCTAACAAGAAAGGAGTTTCATCCGGCCATTCCTGATGTTAGAAAGGAATGGAATAAGGGATGCCCTTCTAGTAAGACGGTCATCCCACCATTCTTGACTTTAAGAAGGAATAAAGTAAGGGATACCCTTCTAAAAAGTCTCCCATAAATGATATATTTGATAACAACGTTAGAGTTAAAGTTAGAGAGAGAAATTAAAGGTATAGTGTATAGATATGAGGGAGAAATTAAAAAGACGAAAGAGAAAGGAGAGAGAAATGGTGGAATGAAAGATAGAGGAAAGATAAATTAAAGAAGATAGAGGAGAGAGAAATAGTTAGACGGATAACTTAAAAGGAGGTAAGAGGAGTCTTGAAAATATATGTATGATAAGGTCAAAATAAGAAATAAAAAAAAAAAAAAAAAAGTAAAGGGATTATTGGACCTACTTATAAAAAAGTATACAACATATGCTCTTAATAACTCCAAAAAGTTGCGCCTAGATCTATTGACAAAAGCATAGTTTTAAAACACGGCTCCAACATCAACCCGGGAAGGGGATCGAGCCAATAGATCACTTGTTCAACAGTTAGGTCATTGGTCAGACTGGTTATATAATAAAAAAATAAAAAATAAATATAAATAACAATAAATAGGCTAAAAACGATAATAATAAATATAAATAACAATAAATAGGCTAAAAACCACAATAATTGTGAAAATAACATGCCTAGCGTATATTAGAACAAACAAAAAAAAAACCCCAAAATCAACAAGCATGTATCCAATGCATTTAATTCCCTTAATCTACTCTATTGATCAAACAATCTGCTCTTAATTGACTGCATAATTTTTGAAATACAAACTTATATAATAAGAAGAGGAAGAAGACAAGAAACATAGATATATAAAGTAAATTATGGGCTTTTCCGTGTTACACTGTCATACCCGTCAACCGTTGGACTTTAATTCAATGTTAGCATATACTATGCTATTATCGATTTTTAATATTTTAGAATCAATTTAAAACTCGCCAAAATGCTATTGCAGAGGAAGCCTCTAATTGAGGGCCCAATGCAATTGCAGAGGAGTGAAGCTAGCTGGTGGTATCAGCCAGCCCATTTCATCTCAACAGATCTCACCTAGGATCCAAGCCCACGAATGAATATCAGCACCATTGTTTCTCTATCCAATATGTTGGGTCCACCGGGCTGGCCTTCTATGAAATGAAATGAAATTCTAATTGTACCAAACTGGACCCAATACCTGGAACCATACTCCAAACAAAAACACTCGGGCCATTTTTTTTTCTTTGGGTCTAATCCACTGTCATGTGCTGGGAGGTATAGCACATTCGGATTACTTGGAACTAGTTGGATTTTCGTTCCAGCGGATTTTTTAACTCGTCCATCAACTTGTATAAGACCGAACATGAGCTTGGGTTCGTCTCAATATCTCTCCGAATCAGTGCAAGTGAACATTATTAATTAAATTTATCAAACTAATATTGACTAATAACAGAAACAAATAAGAACTGATACCATCATAACTCGTCTGACTCGATTAAAACCTCTACTACTGTGTCCTCTCTTGAATTGCTATTGTGTATTGATAAAAGCTAAAATTACCAGCGTCAAGCTCATAATCAGATATTTTCCTTATTGCTACAATGTTAAACAACACAAAACCCGAAGGTGTACGGACAATAGATTTATTAGATCTACACATTAGTATAATATAACTCCTTTAAACATGAGATTTGCACATGCAGGTGAATGCTTTTGAATGTAACAAACTTTATATGATTGTGTAATTTTATTAGTCTTCATATATCATAGTTTAAGTCAGTACCAAAACCTAGGATACTCGTTTTCTAATACTGTCATTTTGGAATTGGAAGTAACATTTATAAGTCCCCAATGAAACAAATTTTTGGCCACTAAAAAAATTTCTTGCTTTTTTGATGATATCATTTTTTAAGATAGGACAGGTCAAGGGCAAGTGTCTTCGATATGTAATATCAAATACTCTTTCTCAAGTAGGTATGAGATATTCGTTATGCGCTTTCTTTAAGAGGAAATTATATTATTTTATATTTCTATTATTTCCGCCTTCCCGACTAAGTGAATCAATCTATTCTTCTTTCCAAGCAAGTAGCAATGAGTGTTTTACTCGCTAAAAATTTAAATGAGCCTAACTTATATTATATAATATTTGGATCCACGTATGCACAGCTCTCTATTTATATTTCCTTTTAGAGTAGTTAATACCCTCATAATAAAAAAAAATTGTCATTTAGAAAGAGTGGGTAAGTTTGAGATCTGGGTTGTGAGCATCAAGATTGATTAAGCACCAAACAATGGGAGGTTCATGCTTGTTCATAACCATGTGACATTAATGGGAGGATATGTAGGAGGAAAGAGTGGCACGTGACAAAGGGGATGGACAAACATGCAACCCATGTGGATGGGTTGGGTCCACGGCCCACCACTTCAAAAGGGAATCTAGGTCAAAATGGTCTTTTGGAAATGTCCACATCCACCTTTAAGAACAAAGCCCACGTCTCATTAAATGACTGAATAGACCCATGATGCCATTGCATTTCTGTGTAACTGTACACTTTGGACACATGCTGACTCATAATGACATTGGAAGCTATACCAAAAGAACAATCATATAATTTTCTATTTCCTTCTTTATTTCACAAGGATGCTTCAACAATGTGTTTTTTAATCTATACCTAAATACATATATAATCAGTGCAAGTCATGTATATTCATAAAACCTGTGTTTAAAATGGCTAAAAGATCTCGAATTTAGAGTATACGGATTTGAATTGCGTATTTTAGTCGACCGTTAAAACCAATTTTACAAATTTATAATATTTCAACAAAATTGATGAAAAATTAATCCCTCGACACATAGATTTGATTAGACTATGCTATGATACCAAGGGAATCATCACAATTCAACACACTATCTTATCTAGTAGATTAAGAAACAAAAAATGGAGAGATGTAAAAAAGAAAAAGAAATCCAACACACATCACATGTAGGGGAAATATTGCTACCTCCCCACGTATAATACAATATATGGAGAGGTTTGGTGAGTCTCGAGTGAACTCAGTTAACCGGTAGCGGGTGAACTCAATGACCTGGAGGAGTTGCAGGCAGATGTGTTGGTGTTGGAGGTTTGCATTGGTAGCACTTGGCAAAGAGGCCAAATGTGTCAACTTGTTTCACAAAGTTGGTCACGCTAGCCCATCCTCCGAACCCGAAACCAACCACAAAAACCCAACACACCACGAATATGTTTAATGCATACATGGCGATCCAGCTGGGCATGAAGAGAGGCGGCTTCTCTGCTGCATTCTGCAATTGTACAAAAATTTAAACAATGTTAGTAGAAAAATAAAAGAAAAAGTAGTTCAATACAAGAGACTCCTGACACTACTCATAGTTTGGTAAGAAGTGGTAAGGATGGGACTGAGTTGAGAACTGAGTCAACAAGATCTCTTTGTGTAATAAAATTTAATGGGAAATAGGGCGGAGTCAACAAGAAGACAGCTCATCAGACATAATACACCACTGATACTGTAGAATATAACTAAATGAAAAGGACCAGCCACCTATCTCCTCTCATCCTAGCATATTTTCAAATCCAAGCCTTTACTAATGTCATTGTACCGTTGTACACCCCCCTCCCCCCACCCTTCAAAAAAACCAAAAAAAAAAACCAACTAGCAGATGTAGCAACTCCACCACCAACACTAAGCATGGGAAACTCCATCAAAACCGGGTTACCCACTTAATGCTGATGACCAGAATACCCCTCATATATTAAAAAAATTAAAAGTTTGCCCTTATTCAACGTGGTAAGTGAAATAACGTATACATGGTCATTATTCGAAATTAAATTGAAGGTCATGTCAAAAGATGGAGATTTGTAAAAAAATTTTTGGGGTCAATAGTCAGGGGTGTCCAATTCAGCTTATGCGCACCTCAATCAATCCCCTTCTTCGGTCTAGTCAAAAATAGGTCATCCGGAACAAGGGTATTCATAAGAGATAAAATCTCTCATGGTCTGATCGTAAGATGTTACCAAAATTCGAACTCAAAACAATTAAATTTACAGTTCGTCCATGAACTACCTTGAGG